GCTATTTACATAGAAATTGAAAAACATCGAATGACCATCGTTTTCTGTGAGTAAAGTTTGCTACGTTCGTTTCAACGAAGTCCTCATTGCTATTTGTCTTTCTATCACCTCTTTGGAATTCGCTGCGTCAGGAAGTATATTTTCGCGCATGATGTTCATACGAACCTTTGTGGTCGACATTTTCCGACAATAATATTTTTTAATCGCAAACCTCGATATTTGTTCGGCCCCTTTTTTTAATCGCCAACCAAAGTTTGCCAAACTTTTCAGTCGACCAAATTCGACACTTTTTTGCCAAACCTTTTAGTCACCAATTTCAATACTTTTCTGCCAGACATTTTAGTCACCAATTTCAATACCTTTATGCCACAGCATCGTTCAACAAACGTTAGCAACTTTTCGAAAAAATGAAGTGACTATTCGAAACTCGTAAATATGTTCGTCTCTAACTTTCCGACTTTACTATTTTTATTTCCATCGATGTGAATCTAATTTTTCAATCACGCTACATTACACACTTAAAAATTCACTCTTGCAAATTTTCCAACGTCCTTTCAGCGTTAATCGTGAAAATGATTACGTTGAAAATTAAACAGACCACTAGTGGACCGTTGGGGTGTGTACACTTTGCGTTAGAAATATCTTTGAAATCAGCATATTAACGAAAGAAGCCTGCAACACGATCAAACATATTAATAATAATCCTGTGCGATGAATGTGTCATACGCGACATCGTTAACGTTAGTACAAGGTTACCGATAAGCATCGCTGTACCCGCGTAGTTTACGACTTCCTGAAAAAAGCCGCCACCGATACTGATACACAGGAAACGCGTATGATTATGACAAATTTAACCTATTAACCAGATTTAGAATAGAAATAAAATTCAATTACTGTTACGAGCACATTCAGTCTCTGTTCCAATAACGAGGATAGTAACGAATGTATACTATACCAACGATGGATAAGGAAGGAAGAAATTTAAATATATTAAGAGAATTGAAAATTAATAACATTTTTGCCGAATTTTGCCGAAACATATTAAGTCTCCATTGAAATAGTTGAATAACAACGTTAGCAACGAATATACACTGTGCATAAAACGGACAAGAAACAGATAAATTCAATGTATTAACAAAATTGAAAATAAAAAGTATTTTTACATATTAACGCATATTACACATAAAACACATTACATCTCCATTGATATAGTTTAACGCATCGAGTAATAAGGATAGCAACGAATATACGCTATACCCTAGAAGCACAAAAAAGAAAGAAATTCAAATTATTAACAAAATTAAAAATAAAAAATATTTTTGCCGAATTTTACCGAGAAGTATTAAATCTCCATTGAAATAGTTTAATGCATCGAGTAATAAGGATAGCAACGAATATACGCTATACCCTCGAAGCACAAAAAAGAAAGAAATTCAAACTATTAACAAAATTAAAAATAAAAAATATTTTTGCCGAATTTTACCGAGAAGTATTAAATCTCCATTGAAATAGTTTAATGCATCGAGTAATAAAGATAGCAACGAATATACGCTATACCCTCGAAGCACAAAAAAGAAAGAAATTCAAACTATTAACAAAATTAAAAATAAAAAATATTTTTGCCGACTTTTACCGAGAAGTATTAAATCTCCATTGAAATAGTTTAACGCATCGAGTAATAAGGATAGCAACGAATATACGCTATACCCTCGAAGCACAAAAAAGAAAGAAATTCAAACTATTAACAAAATTAAAAATAAAAAATATTTTTGCCGAATTTTACCGAGAAGTATGAAATCTCCATTGAAATAGTTTAATGCATCGAGTAATAAGGATAGCAACGAATATACGCTATACCCTCGAAGCACAAAAAAGAAAGAAATTCAAACTATTAACAAAATTAAAAATAAAAAATATTTTTGCCGAATTTTACCGAGAAGTATTAAATCTCCATTGGAATAGTTTAATGCATCGAATAATAAAGGATAGTAAGAAATATATACTGCGCATAAGATGGACAGGAAACAAATAAATGCAATTTATTAACGAAATTGAAAATTAAAAATATTTTTACGGAATTTTACCAAAACACCTTGAATCTCCATTGAAATAATCTTATGCGTTGAATAGCAAGGATAGCAACGAATATACGCTATACCCTCGAAGCACAAAAAAGAAAGAAATTCAAACTATTAACAAAATTAAAAATAAAAAATATTTTTGCCGAATTTTACCGAGAAGTATTAAATCTCCATTGAAATAGTTTATGCATCGAGTAATAAAGATAGCGACAAATATATATATATATATACTGTACTTTCGAAGCACAGAAAGAAAGAAATTCAATGTATTGTCAAAATAAAAAAATAAATATTTTTACGGAATTTTACTAAAACACCTTAAATCTCCATTGAAATAGTCTTATGCGTTGAATAGCAAGGATAGCAACGAATATACGCTATACTTTCGAAGCACAAGAAAGAAAGAAACTCGGGCTATCAACCTACAGTACACACTATACTCACGAATGCCCCAGAAGCAAATAAATTCCATGCGTTAATAAAATACAAAATAAAAAGCATCTTCACCAAATATTACCAAAACGCGTTAAATCTCCGTTGAAATAGCTTAACACACTTAATAACAAAAATACCAACTTAAAATTGTAACCAGGAAACACGTTAATCCCAGAAAGAAAGCAAGCAAGTTCTTTTTCAACGTGAAACACGTTGCACGTGAAAGTAACGTTGGAATTCAGAACAAAATTCGATTTTCAGTAGAATCAGGGTCCAGTTATGAGCGTCGTAACGTTATGTCAATATACTCGGATGTAGGATAGACAAAGACTTTCTCTCAACGCTTTCCCTGGTCCGTAGTTCGGGAGCAAAGAGATACGTGCGTCTTACAGTACACGCACCATTCAAATCTTGTGAAGATTCATGTCCATAAAAACTCACGTGTCTTCTTTGTACGGTGCTTCGTTCCACTACAATTGTTACGAAATATTACGAAATATTAAATAAATCCTTCGAGTTGCTTCGCTTGTATATTACGATCGTGTGAAATATCATATTACTTCGATGGAATGTTAAGTGCTTATAGATTTCATCGCATGTTCAACTTCTTTTTATCGAGATTTTTACCGGCAGTAGGTAACACTGTTACATTTTTTTGTTTACAATCGTGATGTGTTCCACAGGGAAATGCCTGCGATAAAACTCTTCGGCAGAAAATGGCTAGCCGCGACAGATGACCTTGTTTATCCTGGCCTTTTTGAAATTTTTATCCGTGCCGTTTGGTAAGTGTATTTTCCTCTATTTGTGTTTTAATTTCGTAACGATTTGACAGAATGATAATGACATATGAAAACGACAGAAATTTTCGTAAAAGGACGTAAACCGATTTCCGGTTTTCTTCTTTTAATATGTCGCGAGCTATGTTAAGTTACAGTTGATTAGGAGTTTCTAAAAAGATTTCTAACGGGGTTCTTAGAAAATTTCACTTTATTTCCGTTATCTGAATGTGTTAAACGGCAAAATTTCTCGGGATCAAATGTGCAAATTGAATTATTTGTAATGAATTGTGCGAGAAGAAATGTATCTACTCGAAGGATATTGATGTATTAAGAAAATAAGATTTTATGGAAACACTGCGCAATTTTGTAGCCTTGTTACGAAAGTAG